ATTGAACCACTTTTGGTAGATTTCTACTGTCAGCTTTTTCAAAATTAGTGTCCATGATAGACAAACTGAAATTTATAACACGAGAAATAAGGTGTTCAAAATCGTAGAAAACATAGAAACAATACGGTAATCCAACAATGATGATTCCTATTTTACACTACAGAACACAATGTTTACGCAGCTGAGACGTCAGGTCCGATTCAGCCAATCATGGACGTTTTCGGTCGCATGGAAATTAATTTAAAAAAAGATTTTTTCTCGACGATTTATGAATAAATAACACATTATTTAAATCATTTATTAATGTAAATCGCTTGAAAAATCTTTATATGGATAACACAAAAAACAATTTATTTTTCATACTGACAAATAGCCTATTTGTAAATGCTACATATGGTATTTAAAAATTGATGTGTTCTAGACACTACTGAGCTGGCATCAGATGGATATTGGAATAAAAATAATTAAACGTTGGGCTCGGATTACCCACTGCTGGTGTTCGGTAGTGTATTGGCGGAGATGGATGATGTTTTGAGATGATTTCACCATTGTTCTGAATAATCGAAAACGTCCTTCTACTACATTAGTGCACGCCCCATCACCTGCTTTGAATTCCCTCTTGTGAATGACCATCCTATGCTCCAGAAATTTGAAATGTTGAAATGCAGCATTATACACTGGTGTTCCATCAGTGATGAGCTTTCAGTTATTGTCGCAATAAGCTCGAATGATGTTAAATACCTCCTGTCGATGGCGTTGCTGGATTACCACTGCGATTTCAATTTTATCTTCAAGACACCAAACCAAAAACAGCCACAATTTGTGTGATTCAAAACTGAAGGGGCGTCCATTAGCTACGGTGCGCTTTGTCTGGACCAGAGATGACTCATCCATCACAAATGTCTTGCCGTCTCCTCCCAATTTGCGATCTTTTAGCATGATTTCATTTGACGCTTGTAATATTTCGCGTAGATAGGAATACCAATTACCTATATGCTTTCTTGACATCTTCAAATCTTCATCTGCACCATCATCGGCGTCCTTAATTTTGGTATTGCTGATGATATTCCACACACACCAAAGAACTTGACTCATAGTGACTTTGAATCATCATCAGATGAGATCCAAGAAGATCGAAATCGCGATCCGCGTCTGGCAGTTTCGACAGAATACAGACCACTTCGAATTATTTTATTATGTTAAGTATAATTTTACGGAAAACTAAATTAAATTTACGGAAAAACCTTCCATTCTTAATAAATGTTTTGTTAAATTATTAAAACAAAAAACTAATATGTGAAATGAAGTCATATATTCTTCTGTCCGCATTCCCTGTTTCCAGAACTAGCTAAATACGCCGAAATTGATTTTTTAATTGCATTTTCGGTAGCATTTTGAAACCGCTTTCGGATAGCTTCTGAATATGCAAACGTTTATAGTCAAATTTATAAGGTGTAACTGTACAGGAAGTCACAAAAAATGAAGCGAATTCATTAACCAAATCCTTTGGGCTAATATAGTTGGTTTAACAAAAAATCTTTCAACTTTTGATAAAAAAAGAGTTCATGCTACAATAAAGATAAGTTTTGTAATATAAGCACTCTATTTTTGAGTCCATCAAATTTTCATTTCGCACTGCACGTAAAAATCTCTTTACACTAACTTTATTGATATAATATATCGTCAAAGTCGATATTATATTGTATCCCAAAAACACCAAAATTATAGCAAAAAACCTATCAATATATTTTTGAGTCGGTTACCTTGTAAACTTTGACCTGTGGTATTATTTTTTGTAGGATTTGATATCGTCTCTATAAAGCTCAAAGAAAATATTACCAGTAATGGATTAACCCTCCTTTTGACACTATATTAATGTGCAGTTTTAAATAACTTACGTAAAACTGCAGTGTGACAAGCGAGCTTCTTAAAGGATAGCTTCCCCTTTCGCTACTTCCTGAATATGGAATTGCTAACTCTTCGGCAAAGAGCTTCTTCATAATCAAATATTTAGGCTAGTTTCGCCCCCACAGAGATACAGTCGTTAACTGCAGAAAAAATTTATATTAAACGAAGAATTTTTGGAAAGTCTTTTAACAATTATTAGAATCATTACCAGTAGCTCAATATTTTAATCCTTTTTTAAAAATTTTTTGAAAGATTCATGTAATGCATTATCCACAACTGGCAGNAGAGATACAGTCGTTAACTGCAGAAAAAATTTATATTAAACGAAGAATTTTTGGAAAGTCTTTTAACAATTATTAGAATCATTACCAGTAGCTCAATATTTTAATCCTTTTTTAAAAATTTTTTGAAAGATTCATGTAATGCATTATCCACAACTGGCAGCTGTCATTGTTCGGTGCGAAAATTATCAATATTATTGCGCTGTTATTACTATTTATTAGAAGTAAGTTGTGGGTTTGATTTATTGTTTGTTTTTGCGTCTGCAATTTTCCAATTCATCTTCTTAATTTCTTTTAGAATAACCATTTCACCAGCTAAAGAAATTGTTTATATAGGTAATTATTATTGCAATTGATAATAGATTATCAACATTTAATTGCTGTGTATTATTATTACCAGTAAACTGGGGTCGTAACTCAGCGGTCTCGTTTGTGTCCAATTCAACGATACCATCAATGTACAGTGATCCCGATGTAGAATTTGTCCTATGTTTTGCCTTTTCAGCATTTTGATTAGATGTCGAGCCTTTATCAAAGATTGGTGTTTTTGAACGTGGCGGTGTGAAAGCTTACACATTAAAAAATAAAATTCGAAAATAGTAAATACTTATTGCAGTAATATACAATTAGAACTTTTAGCTGTTACATGACTAGATATAGTTGGACCTACAATATTTAAACACATTAACTAAACGTTTTTTGTAATTTGTATTATTACATGTAAAATTCATATACATACAGGCAAATCTATGAAGTGGAAATGACACGTCGCTATCATCTTCATTATCGTTACTGGAACTAATCCTCACCTTAAATTTCTTAGCGTTGTGGCTATTGTGGAAACCACCCACTGATTTTGGAGTTAAGTGGGTCCGCCGGTTGGCCGGGTGATCCCTGGCGAATTTTGTGTCTGGCGGCCGCTAGGTTTGTATCAATCGCCCCCAGTTCAGAGAGGCTGTCGTCGCGGGCGGCGAAAGTCGTGGCTGTGGACGGACTGGAGTGGGCCGGTTCTGGTCGTGATTTAGGGTCCAAATTCCTTGGTAGATATCCCCTGACGAGAACCCATTGTCCACGACGGAAGGGAGGCTGTCGTGCCTGTAGGGGAGGGAACAGATATCGAGGATTTAATGTGCGACTCGGTTGTTCGATCTCGGGACCCTCTCAACCCTTGCGACCAGGTTCTTGGCGGGTGTGGGCTGGTCGACCTTGGCCACCACTTTGGTCATTGCTCTTTGCCGCCCTTCGCCTTCCTAGGGGAGTCTGACTTTGTTGTCTTGGAGGCCTTTGCCCCCTACCAACTTTGTCGCCACACTTGGCCTTGGCCTTGGGTTTTCCGACTCGGATCCACGAGCTGTACTCCTGCTCAGAGTAAGCAGTGTCGTGGACCTTTCTCACAACCCCATCAGCCTGGCTTTGGGCTCTCGCCCTCAGCCGCCTGGTGCGGGGAGCACCATTCGATAGCCGTCCTGTCACCTCGCTCTCACCTGCGTACTTGGCCACAGACACGCCGTGTGAACACGGCGTGTCTGTGGCCTTGCACCACCACTTTCCACGGTTTTTGGACCCGTGGGCTGCATCTCAACAGGTTCGGTCTTCTCAGCGTACGGCTCCTTTACAGCTTTGGACTCGTTATCGGATGAACGAGCCCTTTGCTGGCCGGTAGCGCCGCCATGACAGTGGGGTGTGTAGGGATGCCTCTCTCTCGCTCGTTGATTCAAAGCAATTGCTTGATAACAACTTTGAGGGGCCTGCTCTGTAACCCCTATCCCTACCGGCTCTGCCCTATCCGAAGGGGCTGAAGCAGTAACCTTCGTTGTCTCATTTACCATAATCAATTGCATTGTTTTTGGTTGTTCTTAGGCCTTGCAAGCATTTTTAAGGTGTCGTCCGCTAGCAAGGTCGTGTCCTCCCACCACGACAATATGATTTATTTAATTGAAATATATACATAGTGCCGCTGCTCCACCTTTCCGTACTACAGCGGTGGTATTTCGAAATACAAAAGATATATATGCGCCATTTTAATATGAGAATAAAAGTCGATATAACTACAATCTCTATTTTATCCCCTCCGTCTGCTCTTTTCACGGGAGAAGAAACAACGGAACCTTCGAAAGAAATTTTATTATTTATATTACAACAATTTATTGGTGAGGAGAGAGGAAGGAGGGCCTGCATAAATTATACTTGTAAAAAAGCAAACGTCGATTGCAATGCCTTTCCTTATGTACTGCTGTACCACATTTTTTAATGAATAAACTCTTAATGGTTTTAAGAAATTTAATTCATTAGCACAAAAAACGGAATATTTACAAAATAAGTACAATGTAAAACTATCGTGAAACTAACTAACAAATAAACTAAACTAATTGAACGAAGAAATATATACAATGAAAATACTAAATGAAAAAATGTATAAGGACTTGATTGGGTTGAAATGTGATGAATGATTTGAGCTGACTGACTGACTGACTTGTTTTTGCCTGAATTAACTGTTTATATAAATATGGAAGTAAATAGCTAGAAAGTAGATACATAATTCACTGATGAATATATAATGTATTTGTAGCATAATAGATATAGCGAGCGAGACGACTGAAACTACCTTCATTTGGGAAAGCCAGATGAGGGTTGCAAATTGAATTGTAAAATGACCCAAATGGTCGAACATGACTATGAATAACTTAGAATTAAAAGTGACAAATTTGCAAACTAAAATAAAATTTTATATCTAGCTATACTTGTTGTAAAAGTCTTTGATAAAACCGAACAANACAACAAAGATGCGACCACCATAAAAATCACTTTACATTAGTTTTGCATAGGTAAAACGCACACTTTGTTCACAGCACGTTTTATCACTGTTCCGTTTGGAAGCTTTATGGTGACCACTCGAATAACACCATCGATTCCCGGATGAAGTCCTATCACGCGACCAGTACGCCATTTAAATGGCGGTAATTGTTCCTCTTGGACAATAACTAAGGTGTCCTTGGCTAACATATTGTCCCTCGACACTTTCCATCGATGTCTGACCTGTAATTCGGCGATGTATTCTTTGCACCATCGTTGCCAGAAATGCTGAACCATTTTCTGCACATGTTGATATTTGCTCAACCTATTGTCGGAAATTTCCGAAAGGTCTGGCTGGGGCGGAGAAGTCAACTTTCGTCCGATCAAAAAGTGTGCTGGGGTAAGGGGTTCCGGGTCGTTAATGTCGCTAGATAAGGGACTAAGGGGTCGGGAATTCAAAACTGCCTCAATTTGAGTTAAAAATGTATAAAACTCTTCAAAGGTTAAATTGGAACTATAGCCTACCCTTTTTAAATGTAATTTGGCAGATTTAACTCCTGCCTCCCAAAGACCGCCGAAATGAGGAGAGCGTGGTGGTATAAAATTCCACGTTACTTTATCTTTGTTCAATTGATTTTTTATATGCCTTTGATTTTCTTTGGCTTTAATAAAATTGTACAACTGCGTAAGTTCGGAGTTGGCGCCAACAAAATTGGTACCATTGTCCGAGTAAACATTCAATGGGAGACCGCGCCTAGCCACAAATCGCCTAAAGCTTGCTAAAAATGCCTCCACGTTTAGTTGAGAGACTAATTCTAAGTGTATTGCTTTGGTAGCAAGATATATAAAAAGACAGATATAAACCCTCAAAGGTTTACAGCCGCGGCCCCTTTTATCCTTTATCAAAATAGTTACAGGGGTGAGTAGGCCTAACGGATCAAATATCTGCGCAGTTACTGAAAGAATACTTCTCTTGGTGACGGAACCTTGTTTTGAAAAATTGTTTATTGAAAATTGTAGCGTATCGGATAAATTGTCCCATATAACACCTAAAGTTTTGGATTCATTATTGTTGTTAAATTGATGCGATTGGGAAGTATTGTTTACGCTAATTCTTTGAAGCAATTCTTTGTTGTTCGATGACCATTTGCGCAATTCGAAACCGCCTGAATCTAAAACTTTTTGAACTTCTTGTTGCCGCTGCAATAATTCATCGATAGAATTTGAACCGTTTAATAAATCGTCGATGTAAAAATCATTACCTATAATATCTGCACTCTTCTTAAACTTATCGCGATAGTCTAGTGATAATTGCTTAAGGCAACGAACCGCCAAGAACGAGGCAGCCGCGGTACCGTAAGTCACCGTATTTAATTTGTAAGTTTTGATTTGCTGATTTTGAGATGGTCGCCAAAGGATTAATTGAAGTTGTCTTTGACTTTCGTCAACTTGAACCTGCCTATACATTTTTGCTATATCAGCTGATAGAACGTATGAATGCTTTCTAAATCGTAAAAGTATAGAGAATAAGTCATTTTGTATGGTTGGACCTACATACTGTGTTTCGTTAAGTGATATACCTGACGTTGTCTTCGCGGAGCCATCGAAAACAACGCGAAGTTTGGTTGTTTCGCTAGATTCTTTTAAAACGGCATGGTGGGGTAGATAATAGTGAGGTGTAGTAATGTTATCCTTTTCGACAAGGGTCATGTGACCTAATTTCTCATACTCCTCTAAGAAATTAGAATATTCCTATTTGATTCTGGGATTCTTAGCAAGCTTTCGTTCAAGAGAGTAAAAACGCTTAAGTGCGAGATCCTTTGACTGCCCTAAATCATTAACGTTTTTCTTAAATGGAATATTGACTATGAAACGACCGGAACTTGTACGTTTTGTGGTATTTTTGAAATGCTCCTCACAATGAATCTCATCTTCCGAATATTTATTGAGTTCATTAGCGCGATCATCTATCTCCCAAAATTGTTCTATTTTTCTATGAAATTCGTTTTCGTCAGTAACGCTACAATGTGCTAACAGGTTTGGGGAAGTATTATCATTTTTGTTTAGAATAAG